TTCCCCAATTTATCATCTATGATTTTTTACCTATTCCTTACTCCTGCAAAAAATCACGTTTTACATTTAGAACATTCATTTACAGTTTTACATCGTTCGCTACGGGTTTTTTTTTTTAGTTAATATACAATGAAATTTTTGTCGTTGCGACCATTAACATTAATGATTAATGGTTTCTTGTTATTTGGATCTGATGAATTGATTTCGAACCTTTACTGTAATTAAGAATTTTGTGGTTTCAGGTTTAATGACAAAAAAAAAATGTATAAAATTAATAATGATTTAAAGAGACAGGAATAATTCTTTTCCACAAATCCGAGATTTACAACCCACCCCGACATAACCCGGAAGGCTCACCCTCTTAAAACCCCAACAATTCCTCCCTTGACCACAAAATCCATAATTAAATTACTTTTTCTCCCACCCCCCAGTCATTATTATTATTTCATCCCCAGAGGGATTCGTGCACTTTGCAAACTCCATAAAACCACATTTACCCCCACCCCACAGACCCCCAGGCCCATTCCTCAAAAAGTTCTTTTTTATTTTCCATAACAAAAGGGAAAAATAACCCTCACAATTAAAAAATAAAAGTACAGATCCAAGAACAAAAAATGTTCATGGCAGTATCTCTTTGTTCTTGTTTTTTTTTTACGTTGAAAACATTTTTTTCACATTAACATTGTCGCTTTAATATTCTAATAATGATCCATTACCTTTTCTCTGGGTAATTATTCGTGTTATAACGAGGGACAAGCGTTATGAATTTTTTTTTCGATTTAATTTTTCACTGTTGAATGATTATTTTGTTTAAAAATAGATGATTGAATTGATGAGACAACTATTGCACATTTGGGTAGATTACTCCGGGGGGTAGGGGAAGGGCTGAAGACATTTTGTTTTAATACTTCTTTTAAATGTTCATTAGAGAGTAAAAAATTGATGATCACTGGAGCCCGATTGTCCCTGACAATGGCCCTTGAGAAAATATTATTTGTTTAATTGATCAATTAATTAATGGGAAATTATTGAGTCGATACCAGTCGACAATGAAGTGGGGGGGAGATCCTTCGAAGAAGGGAAGGAGTACGGAACACATATTTTTGCGTGGAAAATTTTCACTGAATAGATTTTTCCACCCATTTTCGTCATTGGTTTGAGGAAAAATCACTCGTCCAGATGATTTTTCGCGATTATTCGTCGAATAGTAGAAGACAGAGAGGCAAAAATTTGATTATCTCATTCGATAGAGCGGAAAATTTCCGCTGGAAATCACTCCTGAACGACCTTTTTCGGCCATTAATTCACCGAGAAAATCCTAAAAAACGAATTAGGATCGATAATCGATTTATTGGATCTGCATGATCTATACTGATCTATGGCGTTTGGTAGCACGGAACTGGGCGATCATGGTATGCAATCCAACGGAAATTTTCCTGGCTATCGATTGAGACTATTAATAATCCCCCATCTCCGGCCATTCTCGATAAATCATCGAAAACGTTGAAGGATCACACTTTTAAAATTTTTAAAAAACAAGTCGCACTTAACCATAACTTAACCGTACTTACTTCACGGTGGACAATAAGCCCTGGAGGCATTTCTCCGCCATTTGCACTGTAGAATTCTCCAGTACGTTTTCCTGAAGTTGGCATTGCACAGTGCATAACACAGAGGATTAATGGTACTATTGATATAGCACAAATAGTAGAAAAAAGACCAGAGTTCAGGTGGTATCTGGATGATGCAGGCCCTCGTTAATGGTTTGAGCAGGACAAGTATGTTGTACGGTGTCCAAGTTAAAACGAATGCCGCCAAAATGGCGGACAATATCTTGGCGGCTTTTTTGTCCTGCGTGCGTTTTTTCTTCTTAGGTGGTGGTTTGACATTCGTGCACGTGACACTCTTAGGTACTGATTTTATCGTGAGTGGTAGACGAACATCGTGAATTGCTGTGACGGAATCGATACGACGCGGTTGACGTCTATCGTCATTCTCGATTACACTCTGGCTCTCCAGGGATCTGTGATGATCGTGGAGGGATATCAGGTCCTCGTACATCGTTATGCTGGGTGCTGATGAGGGTGGAAGCTTTATCACAATCGTGTATACCTGAAATTCAAAATAATTTCACCATAAATAATCTCCAAAAAGAATAATCACGAAAATTCACTGGCAGATAAATTTTCAGATTAAATTGAAAATCAAAAAGTCCCGAGTTTAAATTCCAGTCTTGACTATCCGTAAATGCCTTCATGACACTCAGACTCTCTACACTTGTTGCACCAAGTACCACTCATTAAAGAAAGGGTGTTAAAATTTTAATTACCGGATCAGCAGACATATTCTTCCTGACTTGACTGCTCTCACTCGAGGGTATACAAGTTAATGAGGGACGTGAAATAGTGCTGTTGAATGGTGTCTCAGCTGATACGGGCGTTAGAGTCTCATCCCCTGGGTACATTGTTTTACTCGGTACATCAGTTGCTGTTATGTCGTCCTCATCGTCATCGTCCTCTCGTCCGCTGTGCCACCACGCGATGCACCACATTTTCAGGGATGACCACGACATCGGTCTATTCTTCTTGAATCAATTAAAATCAATGAAAATTACAATTAGTACATCGTGTGTACTTTAATCAAGTGGTTGGGATTTTTATCGAGTGGTTTCTCCATCAAAGGGCGGATAATTCCGTTAATCGGCATGCATCATTCAATATTGCGAGATGGAAATTGATTTTTGGCAAATGCAGAATTTCATTTCCAGAAATGATTGTTTAAAAAATCAGCTATTCAATAAATTTAAAAATAATCCGGAAAATTGATGGGATAAATTGGGACAGGTGAATAATTACAATTGAGATAATGACGGAAGAGACTTACAGCATCAGGATATCTTCTCTCCAAATACGAACTAGCGAAATTCGATGAATTAACGTCATCGTGTCCAACGCTCGATGCACTTCTACCTCTCCTGCACACCTCCATATCGAGTGCTTCATCACTGGAATTACTTCGTTTACTCGCATCCTGTTTACCCTCCTGCAACTCCTTCAAGTCTTTTATTCGTTTTTCCGTTTCCCTCCATATTCGCCAGTAAAGCAGCATCATGACACTTGCAGGAACGTAAAATGCTGCTATAGCTGTACCAAAAGTTATGTAGTGATTTGTCTCGATAAATTGAATGTAGCATTCGTCTTTTGGCACTGTTCGTTTGCCCTCGATGTACGGCCAAGCGTATATCCAAGGAGGCCAGAGAAGAATTGATATTCCCCAAGCACCAGCTGAAACAGAATTAAATAAAAATTATTGATCAAGTAATCAACTGACGCGAGTGTCACGAGTAATTAATTTCTTTGAGTTGAAGAGGTTGAATCCCTCAAATGACAAATTATTATGAATTTCTGGTGATTAATTTAGTAATTGACATTTGAATTTGTGATGAGTGGTTAAAAATTTCTGGCGTGAATGACTCTTACACTTGAAATGAGTGGAGGTGGTATCATCCCCTTCCATTCAAACACCTCGGCGGCAACTTCACTCTCTCGAAAATAAAGTGGGGAAAAAAGGGGAAATTGTTGGGGGGAAAAAAAATGCATCTCCACAAACAGTAGTGCACTACATCTATCCACAGGGCCCTGGAGCAATGCTTTTTCCGGACACTTGGCATCGCACAGTTTCAGAGGTACGTTAAGATACAAGAAGTGTGCCAAATGAACAACTACGAGTGCTTCGGAGTACTTCAACAGATATATATAAATGTAGCGAATGAAATGGGAGATGTGAATGAAATTCAGCATTAGAGATAATGAACTCCACTGAGAAATGTCACATTTTTCACTGACAGATTACTCGAGAGTGAAAATTCAAGTGGAAATGTTAAAATTGAGTTAATCATTTTTTTTGAGAGATAGAATAGAAGACATTTTATTATCCACTATTTTTCTTCAGAGGGAATTAACACTGGAGATACTTCTAAATTTTCTTTGAGAGTTATCCCCTTGAATTTCCAAACCTCGGAATTATTAATTTAATAATAATTATTAAAATAGCTGTTAAAATCAAAAACTTCCCACCAATCGAGATTCCCCGAAGGAATTTCCAATTCCCTCCCCCATCCACCCCCACAAAAATCCATAACCCCCACAACCACTTTATTCAATTTCCCCCTATTGTCCCCCTAATGTCGATAAGTCGATAGATTTTCCCCTTTTACATTTGCAACAGGTGTCACTCGAGACCGTAACCACTATTTATCCTCAACTTATAACCCCCAACCACCCCCTGTGTACTAATTTCCCCCCATAGAAACCCACAACTTCTTCATTAAAAGAAGAACTTCTGATCGAACCTCATTTATACAAATTCAATTTAACACCCCCTATCTACCCCCATTCGCAACAAGTCTAATAATGTCTCTCCCACAGCCTTAACATTTTCATTTACAAACTCTAAACATAAACCGTCTAAAGCCTAGATGGTTTGACGTGACGTATGTGGGTCGTCATAGCCATTATCTTGTAATACGGATTTGTGTGCAAAACAATAGATGCAAAACCGTTTGCCTCAACACGTGTGCTCACTTTATTCATCA